AATATTGTTTCTTTTTATATTTCTTCAATCCAATAATGCACCGTCTACTTATTTCTCGGTTTGCCCAATGGTTGACTGGGAGAGAACATCATCCGGTGTTAAGTTCGCCATGTATGTACATAGTTTCACTTTGTATTAAAGTAAAAATAAATAAGTATTTAAATGAATAAATAAAAAATAAATAAATGAATGAATGGATAAGTAAATAAATAAAATAAGTAAATAAAATTGTATAAAGATTTAAATTTGGGACCGTAAGTACTAATTAAATTATAATACCTTTTATCCAAATAGGTATTATTTAAATTAGTATTATTCCTATCCATTTAAAGTATTTGTTACGATTTTTAAATAGATTAACATAACACACAGTAACAATTTCAGATACTATAATAAGTACTAGCTGACACCATTATAAACAATACCGCACGATTTTATGCGTCAATAGCTATCTTTAGAAGGGGGGAGCATCCAACCTTCAATAAGTAGATAATACGTATCAATTTTTATTTATTTATCAGAAGACCATACACATCTAGATGAAGCATCATGATAAAAAAAAGCCATCAAAAAACGGTCACCAAACGGCCGACAACAAAGCCTTATTACGCGTAATTTTTTCATACTGTGTGTACGTAAGTTCGTACTATATACTCGTATATATATATATATATACATACAGAATTTTATTCAATTCCGTTATGTTTTCTTTTTTATTTTCTTTTATGTATATTGAAATGGCAAACAGGCTAACGGCTCACCTGATAGAAAGTGGCAACCGTCGCTTATAGATAACGTTTGTATAAGAAAGATCCAAACAAATGAACAAACTTTTGCATTTATAATATTAGTGGTCTTGCTTCGTTATTTTGAAACCAAAACCATTTCAAAATTGTTTTAAAGTTTTTAGGTCCATGTTTTTTTGACGAAAATGTATACCTAATTTCTCTTGTAGTTTCTTATAATTTCTCTTGCACAACGATTTTTCAAAATATTTTCAAAAAGAAAAAGAAAGAGGTTCTTAATTCGGTTGTATTTTTTGTGTTTGTTACCTCACATTCCATTATTTCTAAACCGAAAATTCTTTCTTGTCTAGACATTATTATAGATTAGTTACATAAAAAAATATATATATTAAAATCAGTTCGGTAATTTGTGTTCAGTTTGTAAAGTGTTTAGATCAAAATAACTGGTTTTGTTACAGTTGAAGTCGGTTTTTTATAGGACACAATCTATATTTGAATAGTATTATCACATGTACTCCTAGATGAAATATCAATATATTTCAGCCTATCTACAGATAGAATTGCCCACATTATAAGATACTTACTTAGATACTTCAATTACTCGCCAAGAATTAATTAAAAGAAATATAACACAAAAGTCGGTAGAAGTTGCCCCTTTGATTTATTAAGCTTTTCAATACTAGTTAGGTCAGTGGTTTCCGCTCTAATAGGTTCTCATGTTCTTACTACCTAACATATATAAATAGAATGTTACTTAATATTTCTTCAAGATTTTAATACAGTATCTATCGATTTATATTTAACCATGTTGATGCAAATTTATCAAAGAAGCACTTTCCCTTTCCCGGCATATCATTAACCTTTTGTAATACGGTATTAATATTTAATAGGCTTATCTACTTTATTCGAGACAAAAACAGAAATATCTGTGCTAACCACGTATCGTCTTCTATTGTTCACATTTACTGAAACTTTACAATAATGGGATAATCTTGTTTGTGTCTTTATGTACTTTACTTATTATTCAACACACAAATACTTAGAAGCTTGTTCCAAGGACTTGTTGCGAGCGCTGACAGTTTTTCGTTTTCCTTAAAGCAATCAGTGTTGCCTGAGCAAAAGATCACCACTCGCGCTCTATAAAAGTTCATTTGCAGGGCTTACACACGGGTGGATAAAATAAAAGGTTCTTTCTTTTCGTAGGCATATAAATTCAAAGGCCCGCTTTGATAAAATTTGTGAATTCGTTGATTGGATATAGAGGATTTAGAAGTTTTATTGGAAAATGAGCGTAGGTTTAACAAAGACACCCACGTTCATAAAATCAGTGCATCACTTTTAAACTTTTATCTATTCGTAAACAGTTTAGGCTGTTCCAAGGCTCTGCATGGGTGGTGTCGTGTTTCTTCTTTAAATTTAAATATTCAAAAATCTTTTCTTAGCGGATATTTATAAAATAATCCTGTTTCAAATTGCAGCTCACTAGACATAGAAGTTTTATAAATATAGATATTTGTCGTTATCATCATAATCTTATACTGTGTCCATTAATAATAGACATTCCCAATTACCTGTTACTCCGACATCTACTTCCATCCGCTTCTTGCTATATTCTGCTCATCGTCATCCTTTTAAATTTATCAACTGTTATATTGGTATTGATAGCGTAAAGAACAATACTTAGTGAAAATTCATGCTGTTTTTCTTGTGTAGGGAGTTTTATTAAAAGTCATTATATTGTCAAATATATAGGATCATATATAATTTTATATCAATTAACCGAGACCTGAGAAACATCTAGTAACATAAATTTTGGTTTATTTGTTAATGTTACATGGCATTATCTAAGATTTCCATCTTAGTTTTTATTGAGTGAAGGTCAAAGATTGTTTGACCTTCTACAGTAAGGTAAAAAAATATCTTAAAGACTATTACTGTGACTGATTCTGAGAATATAACTTACTGAGATATTATACTTAACATTGTTTCGTCATTATTACCTACAATATCTAAATGTACAGTTAGATATGTAAATATTTGGAAACGACATAGAAGTACAGCACTGATATGTTATTTTATTGTTAATGAAAGGGGCTTTTATATAATAATTTATCATGTGAATATATTAAAATAGATTATTTTCTACTCTAGCTGTTATTATTCTATCAAGATAGTTAAATAGGTACGCTGCGGGGTACAAAGCCCTGAGGTAATTGTTGTGTAAAATTCCTGTATTCTCATCGTATTCTTTTTTTAGTTTAGACAGTAGATCCTGGGATAATGGAAATAACGTCAAGAAGAAAAGTAGGAATACATAATATATCAGATACGGAACAAAACAAAACTTATAAATAAATAACAGCTCGACAATCCACGGTGCCGAGTGTCATTCGTATTATAGCAGAGTACATTTCAAGACACGTACTCCGGGACGTGTCTACCCAACGTTGCCCGCTCCACTCCATTTCCGTAAAGTGAAGTGCAATTAGGAACTTATCGCCAGAGATACCAACGCAACTTACCACTTACTGCTGAATCATACAGTACTACTACCGTTCTTGAAATTCACCAGCGCATATAGGCTTTACTCGTGGTTAAGCGTAAACATACGCACTGTAATAGAGTGCGTATGTGACGGAACCGCAGTCACGCACATTATCACAACGTGCAAATATGAGTCTTTCCAAAAATAAAGTGCACGCGCCCTCGTGAATTGTAAGAACTGTATTTGAAAATGTGCGGACGTGCTCATCACATTTGCTTTATTTTCGAGGCTTTGCTATATCAAAAATAAAGTATGAAAAAAAGTAAAAAATAGACCTATTATATAAAGATATTATGCTCGTATAACAACTCCTACTACTGTACTATGCCGAGTAGCCTAGCCTCAAGGAACAATATACTTGCCTTATTTTTAGATATGTTATAAATTATAATATTTTATAAATTACTCCTTTGCATTATATTAGCAAAAAAATGTGAAAATGTTTTTTCAGCCAAAATTACTTTGTTAACGGGTAACTACTCATACATACCTATGTATCTACATATATGGAGGTTTATTGTTAAGGTAGGATCTAAAGTTGCTGTTGGTAATCATGAATCGTATTCTATTATGTGCTGCTTATGACTATAGGTGACAGTTACCGTATCTCATCATCTGGGCTGTTTCAAAAAACAATCTTTTCTAGTTTTAAAATCAAGTCCGTATTTCGACCGGCTCTGTAATTGTTAAGAACTGATTTAGCTTATTACACCTACGCACAATTTAGTTATATCGAAAGAATTACGCATTATTTTTTATTTCTAGAAACAGTCAATTCGTATCATAATAGCAGCTATAAAAAAATTCTCCATTTTTAGTAGACATCTATCAAAAAGACTTTTATGTAAATATAATATAAGTATATTATATTTTAATCGCAAACAATCTCTTATGAATTATTTTAAGTGTTTACGATTGATCATAAAAATCGAACTTTTAATTTCATGTAAATTTATTTAAATTTATGTAAATTTACTTCTCTTATTTTTTATTTTTCTTATAATTCGATATTAATTATTGTAGGTACATCTTATGTTCTGAAATATATTATAAATAAATAAATATTCCTCTTTCATGATACACTACTTATATTTATTATTCGTTTCATTTTATTCATGATTGCATAGTATAATTATTTATTTGAGAAATATTAAGTGGCTTATAACCTATTTCAATATTAAGTATTTTATAATATTTAATAGGTATTATTAGGAAATACAGATAAAAGGACTCCACCGACAAGAGCGCAGCTCTTAAATAGGATAGATAGATAGATTAGAAAATAGTTCATTATCTAATTTCAATATATTCCATGCACTATAATAGTAATCATATTTTAAAATGATTAAAACATCATGATTTGGTACGAAAATTTTTATTTATATCTATTTTTTATAAAAGTTTGATTACATCAACTTAAACTAACAGTCATTTTATTTAACACTTATATTAAATATTACTTAGGTACTATCATGTAAAACAATATATTTACGTCTAATTAATAATACTTATAAACTAAAGGTAGATACTAAAAAGCCTATGAAATAGTATTAGCTTAGAACCTGTGGTAAAACGCAGCCACACTTAGAGCTAAGCTAAATGAACTAACTAAATTATGTGAGTAAGTTACCTCGACATGCCAGCTAATCTAAACGCTTTCTGTGTATTGCTCGCACATAATACTCTCGTTGCCATCTTTCGTTTATCTCTAGTTTTCAATATGAACCCAGATAGTTTACTTTGCACAGCATTACATAGCATAGTTCGTATAATTGGATATACACTATACTAAGCCTAGCTAAGCTCTAGTATGACTTGCATTTTAAAATAGATGTGCGAATTCTATACCTCAGATACAGGTTCGTTTTCCAAAGTACATTGTGATGTATTTATCAGTGCTGTACTTTGCCCTCCTCTTACTCTCGTAAAAATTTCAATAAAGCCACCTTCCATAAAACAATAACCCAATAAGTATTACTCCCAGGTTATGAGGTTAAAAGTTTCGTTTGAAAACATTATTGGGTCTAATATTTATCACGTAATTTTATTTTATTTTATAACGACATATTACTGCAGGTCTAGTGGGGCCTTTACAAATCTTTGACGCTTGCTTTGCAAACATTGCTTGATTTGCAAACATCAGATACGTCGTTGTCTATTGTATGTATGTGTAGCCAATTTCATACGCTACAAGAAATTATAATTTTTTATATTATCTGTTTTACAATACAAAATGAAGATTGAAATTTGCAATTATTAAAATTTCATATTTCTAGACCCAGCGACTTTGTTTTAACTGAATATTGATCACTTTTTTCTTTTAAATTAGTGTTAGACATTACACGATCAGCAATTAATATTATCAAAATTAAAAATAGGCACCTTTTTATGGTATAATGTGAATAATTACCTGCGTAATTTTTTTATTCGTAAATATTATTGTCCAAAATATAGGACATCCGTTCTATACTTTTAACAGGCCAAATTTATCTTCTTACGTATTCTTAATATTTAGATATATAAAGAAAATAACAATAATCTAATCTTTTTATAAATGATTTAAAAATAAGAAAAAATATATAAACTTAAGCTAACTTAACTATATCCTAAATACCTATGTGTAAATTTAAGTTGTATGTGAGGAGACATAAATAAATATATATTATTATTATTATTAAGCGAAACAACTATCAGTATCAACAACGTATGTCAGTCTACGTCGGTCAGCTATTGTAAAACATCATGTTAAAAATCTATATAAATAAAAATAAATTGCTAAATGTGTAATTGAATGCAAAATTTAAGAACGGATGGTTCGAATGAAGAGAGTAATTACTCATAAAAACTTCATTTTTATTTTTCCTATGCAAACAATTTTTAATCAGTCCTTAAAATAGAATAAATAAATAAATCCAAATTTAAATAGACTTTTTTATAAGCTTTTTAAATTGTCAATTTTTTATGATTGTACTGCTGGGTTCGGGATGTTGTTATCTGCTGAGAAGAACCCGCAAGAAACTCAACAGATACACGTTTTAAATTATCACGTAGAAAATAATTTTACACCTGCATTAGTACTGTGACAATAATTAAAATTAAATTTTATTTACACATGAAATTTGAAACGTACAATTTCAAATAGCTAAGGACATAGGCTACTATTTATCCCGTACAATCAACATATTCCGATCACATACAAGAATTTGCGGGTAAAAGTTAAACAAAACATGTTAAGAGTCACTAAGTCTTTCATGTATAAAAAAAAGATCATATTTTATATAATAAAATTCTCTAGACATATAATAAATATATTAACACAAGTGAAGCAGAAGCGTATTTGTTTTGTTTATTTATCATCACACGAACATATACATGAAAAAAATACTTTGTTACCTTTTGTTGTCGGTGCCTTAACAGCTCAATAGATTCTTATGATACTAGACAACTAATAAAAATACTTAAGCACTTTTTTGTTGTAAATTAACACTATATTATATGCATGAAATATTTGTTGTGTGGAGATCGAACCCGCGAACAACGGCAAGGGGGGGGGGGGTTATACCGCTACACCACTAAGTTCGTCATTTAGTGATTATTCTACTTTAGGTTAGTGTATGTACAGTATTGACAACGTAATAAATTTAAATAAATAAAATTATATTTTGCGTTAAAATATCACCCACAACAAGTTTCAATGAATACAATTTTATACCTTTAAAAAGTCGCTATTTAATTAAGTAGGGCGTTTTTGTCGATATATTTCTAGGGAAACACTTTATCTAGATGTTTTTGATTCAGACATACTCGTAAACTTGTCGTTCAAAATAAATATAATATGTATCTATATTATGACATAGAAATTTAGATTTTTGGTACTTAGGTGCTTATTCTAATATCATATACAACAAACCATTTAACGATATCACTGTTGTATAAGGTAATAATATTTTACATTTAATATTTATATAATTATTCTATGAATATAAGCACACAATAAATAAAGCACTGACGTGAGAGATGCCGCAGTAGCTCGACTTCCTGAAATGATAAACAGTTTTAAATATATAAGTAATTTTAAACACTTAGGTTTGAAAAAATAATAATATTATTATTAATTTTAGTATTTATGTTACATTTAAAAATACATACTCGTTCGAGTATATCATTGTAACGAAATTTCGAATGAAAACCTTATTAATAAATTCTGATTACATATAGCCAGTTATATATATATCTAAAGTTATAAATGTGCTGAAAATGAAACCTGGAAAATACCCTAAATTTATAGAGCCTCTAATAGAAAGATACCTCTCATACATGCAAATGACAAGTACCAAGTAATTGATTCTTATAGTTTTTAATCACACTATTGTGAACTAATTGTAATATAGAAAACGCCAGTTCGTGTTGAAAAGTTATACTGACAGTTTATAAAAAAATAATTAATTAAAAGAATACAATATTTGAAACAAATTACAAAGGAGTTTGTAACACACACTATTCCTTTAAAAATATTTGACTACTAGTTGCATTCAGCAGGTTTGCCCGCGTGAATAAGTATATAAAGTATTCTATATGTTAAAATATTTATATCCGGTGTGGTCTCGGCATAGAATAAGTCACCCCTTCCTGTGTCTTGTGTGTACGTGGGTGTCGTAAGAGGCAACTAAGGGAAGACGAAATATGGCCAACAAGCGTCCCTCTTAAAACATCTCCAAAGTCTAACTGCGGTTGCCAATCCACCTGCCAAGCGTGACAACTACTGGCAAAACCACCCTAGGGAGAGTTTTATGTTCAGCAGCAGTTAAAGGCTGATATGATGATATGTTAAGATATAACCTATCCGTACCCAAATTTTATTAGAATATGTTTTAGTAGGTTTTGCGTGAAACATACATCGCTTTCGCGTTTATAATATTAGCAGTAAGATGTACTGAAATGTAGAAATGAAATAGGTAAATATCTGCTGTCAATGTACTCAAAACGGTACATTATTTCAGTAGTTTACTAAACGTGTAACATATTTTGTTTCAAAAAATTATTATAGGCACTTATGTTAATTTCTACAATAAATCAATTTGAATGAATATTGTAAGATAAAGTAAACACAGTAAATGCATAAAAAACAATTCCTTCATGAAATAAATCAACATGTGGAAATCAGTTCAATATTACATGTGTCTAGGTAAATACGCTTTAAAAATGTAAATAGAAAACAAATAGTCAATATTTTAATTTTGTTATGAATATTTATTTAATCTATGAAATTTGAATTTTAAATAATATTTACATCTCAAAATAATATTTGACCTTGAGAAGATATTAAATAGATTTTCTGTGCCTTGGGGATTATAAATTAATGCTATTAGCAATAAATCAATAAATGTATATATATTGATATTCTTCATTAATACATCATGTATTTAAAATATATAGAGCGGGTTCTGTCTAAGAGATGAGTTCAGCAGTCTTCGATTGCACGAATAAGACATATGTATATCTCGATTCATACATGCATCTGTATATATGTAAGGATAAAGGCCTTTGAAAGTCGTTTCTCTTTGTATACCCCACAAAGGACTTGATATGAATAATCCAGGATAAATTATTTATTATTTTAATTTTAATTCAATAAAAAATAATACCTGAATAGGATACAAAATAGTGATAATAAATACTTGATATGTAGCCTAAAAAGTATTAAACATTTTTAGCACGCTTTTAAAAGTATCCAACTTTATCACATCTAAGGTATATATGAAGTGAAGTATCCATCTAATGGCACAAGTTACGAGGCTGTAGCAGACGTAGCGATCCAACTGCGACGAGCATTCTCGATATAAGTTGATTCATAAAACTAGTTACTATTTTCTCTTCAGATAAAACCGATAGATAATACTTTATTACACATAATTTAATAATAAAATTAAATAAAAGGCTTATGGTTTCAATCATCAGTAGGAGTAGTTTCAATAATCATCATCAAAGACGATAGAGTTTTGTGTGACTTTTCAAGGTAGATGCTATGGTCTATTATGTATGTACCAGTATGTTTTTATACGTATTGTTTGGAAATAATATTTTTGTTATTATTCATTAATTTGCTGTCGATTTTGTTTATTACATATGTAGACAAATATGTTAGTATAATATATAAAAACTCAAAATTGTTTCCTGTATGTTCATAATTTTACGAGAAAAATAATAAGGGTTTCATATTTAGATTTTAAACAAAAAAAATTAGACATAGTTTATCTCTACTATATCCATGGTAATGTTCATGTCTATAGACAATGGTTACCACTTTTCATCAGGTGGGCCATCAGCTTGTTTCTCATTCTCATTTTTCTTCGGTTATTATTATTTATTATTATTAGTCTATTCTTCAAGTTATTATTATTATTATTCTCAGGTTTCATCAGGATCAGCAACGCGCATGTGATACCCCTAGTGTTTCAGGCGTCCATAGACCACAGTAACCGTTTACCATCAGACGGCCTGTATGCTTGTTTGTCACCTACGTGGTAAAAAATATTCTTGATTTTTTTGTTATATATTTTTACTTACTATGAGCATGTCGTTCCTGGGGTTTTTCTACTTCTACAGCAGCAATACTATAAGCTGTTGGCATTAAACCTGTTTAAATTAAAATTAGATATTAATACGAATATATATTATTTATTGTTCTATTATTATTTAAAAATCTCTGCTACTCTTACAAGTAACATACTAACTTATCGAGAGATACACTTGAGTTCGGGGCGCCATTTCTGTAAACCTATGTCTGTAATTAAAATTTGGTACTACATAGGAATCTTTATTTTGATTACCAATAAGAGCTAATATTGTAATAGATTTAAGTCTCAATCATTACAAATTAAATTTAAGATGGTACATAAAATAGTAATATCGCGAAACTATCAAATTATTTAAAAGATAAGTTTACAGAAATGGTGAGAATCGACTCCATTGTTTCTGTCTTATATATGATAATCAAGTGAAAGAGGTAGCAACGTTAAAGAGCAATAAAAATAGTATTACAGATGGTTGTAGTGATTTGGTATCTGGAGGCGTAATCAATATCTTGGTGAGTAACAAATTTTATATTATAACTAGTCTGGCCATAAATACTGTTACATAAAAAAAATATTTTGTTTAACTTTTTAATTATTTTGAATTTGGACCACGTTTATTATTGTAAAAACTTCTTTGTATTTCGCGCCATTTCACACATTTTTTCGTGTTCATTATCAAATTACAATATAGAATAGGGCGTTAAAGAAAATAGGATTGCAGTGATCGCCTTGCATAAAGTGGGCACTTCAAAAGCTGAGTATCAGCCGTATGTTCATATGTCGTACTACCAACAGATACAACAATACTTCCTCTGTCGAAGACCAGAAAAGATCGGGGCGGCTGCGTGCTGTTAGAACTACAAAGGCTGTTAAAGCCAGAATTCGTCGAAACCCCATTAGGAAGCAAGAATCTTATCACGAAGAATGAAGATTCTCGCTAGGACTATGTCGCGTATTTATAAAACAAGACCTGCAGCTCGGTTTTTATCGTCGATATACAGGGCATGCCCTAAATCAATCTTTACAATTAAAGAGAGTGGATCGATCAAAATATTTTCTGTCGCGCAGGTGAAAGGCACAGAAATATCCTCTTTATCGATGAAAAATTTTTCACGATTGAAGAACATTACAATAAGCAAAATGATAAAGTGTACGCTCACAGTTCTAAAAAAGCTGTTCAAATGGTCGGACAGGTACAAACTAGTCATTATCCTGCGCTAGTAATGGTTTGAAGGGGCGTGTCTTATCAAGGAGACACAAAACTACATTTTTGTGAAAAAGGAATGAAAAAAATATACCGTGGACTTTCCAGAAGACTCTGCACCTGGTCACTTCAGCCATATAAGAGCTGTATCTCATAAAAAAGACTTCTTTCTTTTTTGATTCATGGCTTGACAGATTAAAGGTATGTATAAATGCTAAAGGTAACAATGTGGAATAGAATATTTTTTTTATATTTTGCTGAAACTTTAATAAATATGTAGGTATAAATTTTAGTAATATTACATTACTTCATAAATAAATGCATTTTCATTCGTAACAGACTTTATGGCTGGACTAGGTAAAATTAATATTTTGAAATCATTTCATTTATTCTTTATTAATCATATTATGAAAAATGTGAGCTTCTTCTTCAGACTTATTTTTGATTAAATTTGATAGCATAGATACCTATATATTAATCATAATAACTACACCGTTTATGGTTATGGTTACAACAGATTTTTATACCACAACAACAAAGGTACTATTTGTTGAATACATTTCAAATTCATCCTGAGTCCTCATATCATTATTTTAGCACTTCTTAATAGTACAAAACAATGTCGCTGTCCACGTCTATTTCTCCGTTCTTCTAAACAATCCTGTAGATCTGATATAAGTATCACTGTTATTTAATTTTTTTTTTCAAACTAAACTTTTCTATAAGTGAATAAATTAAATGTTTTATTATAAAATTTGGATCATCAATTCACAAAACAATCATTTAACAAACACATTTGGTTTACTGTCTCTCAAAGTGTCAAATGAAATAATAAACTGGTTACAAGTTATGACATGCGCATAAATATATTCCTACTAGTAACTTCTATCTTTAAGATTTTGTCACGAAGGTACATTGCATTGCATTCTGAATAAGTGTAGAATCATAAATAAATGCTAAAAAATAAGTTTACTTATATAAAAATTATACTTATTTTGCTTTTATATTAATGACCTAAGTAACAAACTTCTGTAGTACCTATGTTATTAAAACACACTAATGTCATAATGAATTTTTAATGATATTTCTTATTTTAATGATATATCTAATTTATATTAATGGTTAAGTATATAAAGTCACTAATGGCAAACATATCTTAATTTATCCAATACTATCCATTTATAATTACTTTTTTATAGATTCAATTAAAAGAAAAAATAAAAGTAAATACGAATATTTTATACAAAGAATTAATATTCTTTTAATCTAGATTCTGTACAGGAAATAAACACAATGAAAATATAGCTCTCTAAGCATTTCATATTGAAATTAATAACAATTTACCAGGAAAATAAACGGTCGTTCTGTTGGCCATGTAGTTAGCCGGCGGCAACTTTAGTACACACACGAACTCTTCCCATGGGCTCGTGACGTCATCGTCGTGAACCAGAGCCCTTGTCTCCACTGTATATAGACCCCAAGAATCCATTCTAATTTCAGTCACGGCTTGCTTCAATGGTTTCCTAAATGTCAAGAATGATTTACATTTTATTCATAGATTGTTTATTTGGAATTTCAATGAGGGTGAGAACTAACGGGGCGACTATATTCCTAACCAGTTTCCTATAAGTAGATATAGAGATTTCTATAAAATTCTATTATCAGGTGTTCAGTACTGATTTTAATTTCATATTAAAATTATTTTCATAAAAACATATAAAAACTTAATTTGTTTATCATTCATATCTGAGAAAACACGGTTATATATGCTATCATCTCGTTCTCACGTATACGAGCAATAGTTTATAGATCTCCCCCCGATTTCTACTGCGTAAATTAATGTGTGATAACTAATAAAATTAAACATTATGAAATTAATAAGTCATTAGTGTACGTGGATGAAAAAAATGAAAAAATGGATGTTTTTTTTTTATTTCTTTGGTTCCTGATAAAAATAATTGATTGGTTAACCCCATTATTTATATATTTACATTAAATTTAATATATAAATAGATGTAATACTTAGAAAAATGACAGAAAAATGAATCCCCGATTTCTACTGCGTAAATTAATGTGTGATAACTAATAAAATTAAATATTATGAAATTAAGATAAGATTGAATTTAATTTAGTATTAGGTATACGAAACATTAACGATGCCTTTGGGCAATGGTGTACGTGATATAATGAAGCCCTTAGATATATGTTATGAAAAAAATTAAAAATGAATGTTTTTTTTTTATTTCTTTGCATTCATCATCACGTTGCACCGTCAATTATATTTTTTGTTATTCCAGTCAATAATTGATTGGTAAATAACCCCATTATGGTATTAAATTCGCTATTTACATTAAGTTTAATATATAAATAAATGTAATACTTGGTTTTTCATGTGACGGTTCCTGATAAAAGTTTTTTTAATTATTTATATATATTTAAGACAGAAAAATGAATCCGCGTATCTTAAGAGTATACAATGGCAGAGCATCAGTAAATAATGAAAGGATACGATTGAAATCAGGTCAGCTGACCTGACCTGGGTCAACTGGCTCATCGCGGCGAATTCACTAAAAATTAACCATGATGGCTTCCAGGAGGTACCGCAGGGAGATCGACTCTCCCCCTTCATATGATAATTTACTAGGATTTTTAAAAGGTTTACAATTTATTTATAGTAGTAAAAATAAGTAATAAAGTATGTTATAAATTTAGAATTGGCTAAGAATATGAACAATTCTAATTACTATAAATATCAAAACAAGAATTCAATATAGGTATTATATAAACGTAATGAACATATAAGCTAAAAATCGGCACTGAAAATAAAGCGTATTCGATAAAATTATGTACTCATTTCTATACAGACAGTGCCTACTACCGTGCTGAAATATTATTATAAGTCTTGTAAAAATATAACGTCTGGAATGGGACATCTATTCTTGGCAAGTAAGTATGCGACTCCATTCCTTTAGTTCAACAATAATAGATTTTTTTATTTATGAATATTTATTGTTTTATTAGTAAGTTGCTATTTTATTTATGCATATTTAGTACAAGTTTTATTAATAGGTAATAATGAAACACTAAGTGTTTTATTTAATGTTAAATTTATAACTTAGGAATAGTTAAGTTTTTTTTTATGTCGAAATATAATCTCTAATAATATTTGTATCATAACATTGTATCTTGTATTTAATAAATGATTAAAATAAAATAAACATAAGAATATATCAATATGTTTCGGTAAAAAATATTTAAATACTTACCCCTGTGATAATATAGCCATAACAGGTTTTGGATATAAATCTTCAGCAATACAAATGAGTGTCACTAAAAACACATATTTTTTCTCTTGAATAAAATGGAAACTTTTTCCAGGACCTGAAAACAAAACAAAAACATCAGATGATGTAGTGTTTTGTTACCGAACGCATCAACACTATGATTAGGTAAGTTATGCTTAAACGTAAACATAAAGAAATTTTATTCATAATTAATGCATTTATAGAAAAACGTCCCGATTTTGATTCTAGCGCAGATTAATTCAGATAAATAACTTTTCTATTCAGTTTTCATGTACAATACTTAGGTGTACATTGCTTGATTTTACCTTAGATATTTAATTATATGTTAAATAGAATAACTTTCTGGCACTTTTTTAAAAAATATGAACACATATCTTACGATAAAATAATATTTCCATAAGTACACAAATATTTCTTACTTGGTTATATAGAAACAAATAAATTTTATTTAGATAACGGAAGATTTAGTAGAAATACAAAAATATAGATAGAAAGTGGTTTTATGTTTTATACGTATATTTGAGCAATAATAATATCTGAAACTACCTACCGTCTGATTTATGCGAATACTTTGTTTGTTTTGCAAAGCGTGTATCGTTCGTTAGTGCGAGAGTTAGCAACTCCCGAAAAGATGCCCATGCCATAACGTTCAGTCTGTTAAATGCTAAATGATTTACGATAGAGATATTCGGCTTTAGCCCTGTTTCATCGACGTGTAGTAGAACACGTCCTCAACGCCCGACGACGTAGCAGGGCGCTGACAAAGTCTGGCACAGCGGCTTGATTTTCAAACTGCACAAGATGGGAGGCGTCGTGCACATCATAGAGCCTTCTTGTCCAATAGGTTCAAAAAACACTCGTATTACACGGGTTAAATTGGATTTACATTATGTAGATTTGTTATTATTATGTTGAATATTTTCAGGGGTCGTGATTACATATCTCTGAAGTAACAGTTGTAGATATTAGATCATTATAACTCCCAGCGTTATGAACAAAAAAATAATTGTATAAAAATTACTTCAAAGACGTTATTTTGTTAACCGACTTCAAAAACAAGTAGGTTCTCAATTCAGTTGTATCTTTTTGAGTTTGTTACTACATAACTTCGTCAGTACTAAGTCGATTTGGAAAGTTATTTCTTATCTGAAAGGATAAATTTATCAAAATTGGTTCAATTGTTTAGTTCTCAAATCAATGTAACTATATATAGTTTCGCCACAATAGAAGTCGGTTTTATTGTAGAACAAAATCTTATTTCATTTTATTCTTTGAAATTATTTGAATTTTTATTATTATGTACTGTATTATATGTCATGTCATCAAATTTTGATCATCTCTAAAGTTTATTACTTCAGTAACAAACTTGTAAGTATTAGATCACTATAGGCGGGTTATGACTAGGGTCTATATATTATAATAACCATCTAATGCAAACAAAAGTATAAAAATTACTTCATAAAACTTTTTTTTATTTTTTACAGTTATTTGGATCTTTATCAGGTCATCTGTTAATAAATGTCATATCAATAAACTATAGTATCCTAGCTTGAATCCCAAGTAATTGACGTGAACTGTGTAGCATTTATTATTATCATTATTCAAGAACAAAAAATAATGGTGTCATAACAATCATCATCATCATTACATCAGCCGTTATCTATCCACTGCTTAACAAGGTCATCCCCGATAGACTGCCATAAGGAACGGTCCTGAGCTACATGCATCCACTGACTTCATAACATTATTGTAACCTACATAAAAATATATTTGGCATGTATATTTCATCTACGATTCTTGGAATTAGATAAACCTAAAATTAGTTACTGTTTAAGAGACATTTTATAGACTTTTTATGTTTATTAGGTATTTCTAGACTAGAAAGAGTAGTAGAAGAGTTCTATTGATATGTGGTTTCCATAATTTACGGCTCGATGGAACATATTTTATTTTACACAGACAACGCAACGAAATATACCTAATATAATTTAATTACAAATAGAAGATAATCTCCTATTATTGATGCCCTCCTATAATCTATCGAGTACCTATTATATTTTTCAAGTATCCTAAATTGCAACCATCATTTCGTCATAGTTGTAGAATAGTGACGGATCTGACAAAGATTACATATAAAGATCCGTTAGTATTCTACGACTATGACGATTTGTTGACCGGAGAACCACTATGCTCAAACTATTGATGTACATTTATTGGCAGCTGTACATTATGTAAAAGCTAAGCAGACAGAAATGTCTTTATGATTACCTACTCTAATAAATGATTTTATAAACACAAAACTTCGTGAAGGCTTTTCGGTACCGCGCAGTCAAATAGTATAGGAAATTTAATATGACGGAAACGCGTAATAAGTTTATCGTTTAAACGATAGATAATGTACAAACATAATACCCGTGCCGCTTTTAAACTCATTCAATGGGGCCTGGTAATTAAGCCACTTACTCAGCCAGCTCATTGTGTTAATTACGTGGGTACCTGTTCCAATAGGCGCTCCCTACTCGCTTGTAACGTTGTCTAATAATCGTTGGGTATCGATTTTTTAATCGATTATTCAGTTAGAGCCATAAATAATTTCACAATAACGATAATAAAATACAATGGATTATATTTTACAAATGTACTAATGATTGATAACATGTATTAATACTTAATAACCAGTTCTGGGACAGTATATTGGTTATGAAATTCAATAGGTAGTTTTATTTTTAACTAACTATCAATACAATAGGCACTATGAACGCACATGTTATAGTATGAGCTCCCTGTCGAGGCTTTTCAAGATACTATAGCATGAGGTCTTTCAAAAAAGAGGTAAAGAGGTTTCTTCAGGGTCAGCAACGCGCGTATTACACCTGGTATTGCAAGTGTTTATTGGCTACGACAACTGCTAACCATCAAGTGGGCTATACAATTGTTTGTCACCTTAGTGCTATAAAAAACACTATCCAGTGCAGAATAATGCGTTCCATTATAATCGGTCATATGATTAGAAATCGATATTTGAATTATTCTGTGTAAATTTTAATATCGATTAATTAATAAATCGATTATTATACAACACTACTTGCTAGTAGGAACAGAGTTCAACACTCTCGACAGCTTCCTTATTATATAGCAGAGACGGTCTTCATTATATGTACGCTAATTTCTGACTCCTTTTTCGTTTCTGTCAATTATAATTTACTGAAGAACGCCCGAATATATTAACTTATCCGTAACTTCGTATTTCAATAGACAACATGTACGTAATTTATTTAAGGAGTTGGGGTGAATCATATAATGAAATTGTAATATTCTTAATCTCTAAATGTCGCCTACATAAAGTATGTGGAGTAAAATAATTTTAATATTAGGTATCATTTGTCTGATATACGTCTGTATGAACACTAATCTTAAGAGTTAATAAGTTTATTTAACTTGCGAAATCACATCTGCTCTCTGAAGAAGGTGCGGTGGGTAATTTTTCTCTGACAAAAGAACTAGAGTTTAGGATACCAAGGAGAGAATGAGGTACAAGGAGAGAGCTATGCAAACAGTATTCAGAAGTATGATATCCAAGATAAACACGTACTTAAAAAAAACGATGAATTTTCTATGCACATGCAATGCATATTTTATTATAATAATCCACGCGTTTCTATTCCTTTTCCTTTCTAGGATGTGAATAAGAGGCCATAATACATTAGATAATAAACGCAAAAAAATAGAACTCCATACACGTAAAACAGTTTTCTAAAAATAAGCCTTAATTATTTCAAAAACAATTTTCTTTAATTAAAAAATGTATTCACTCCTATATATACTCATGTATAAATTAATAAATTAAATATTCTTAAATTTAATTTCATGATACTATTGGTTCTATTGCTTTACGGTAAGATTATTTTTATTTAGTTTAATAAAATATAGTACTTTTGATTGTTATAATTTGTCTTTAATAATAAATAAATATTTTTTTGAAGTAAATTCTAGCCATAATTGACCTAATTCGTAATTTTTTACATTTCAAGATTAAATGCAATGTTGAATAAAATATTGATAATTTATATTTTTTGTTCATAAAGAAATCCATCTAGTATTGTATTCTAAAGCTTAGATTTAATTATCTAGGTTTTTACATACACTACGTGACATCCATTCCATCCATTAGGTTAAATCTTTAGTATACGAGTTACGAGTAGTATCTTATCTATTGCTATTATTGTATATCGTATTTTTTACCGTAAATAAAAGGCAAAAAATTTTAACAGCGTTTTATAACATATGAATTAGAAAAATACAACGACATCTTCAAATAAAAGATTTTATTAACTTTCAAATTTTAAAATTATATATAATAAAGTTTTAAAATTAAACAAAATAAATTGATTTATGGTATGCATATTTTTGATCTATAATACTTCAACTAATGGTTTCTGAAATAAGTGATTTGTTTATTTATAAAAATATGTTTTTCTTTGAAATGTTTTTTTTTTATCTAAAATATTATAGTGAAATAAACATACCTAGGTTACATACATAGATTTAGAAAAGTATGTGAGATAACGAGACTCCTTGATTACTAAAGATGTTTCTGATATGATACTTAAGTTAATATTAGGTACTTTGAAATTCCGAGAAAATTTCTTTTCGTGATTGAAGAAATCTTTTTTAACTATCTACCAACCAAATCATCTAATATACGAAGTAATAGGTTACCTCTTCCTTTTAGAATATCCAACTGTAGGACATTAATGGGTTATTAAGGACGAAAGATTTGTACTTAGGGGAAATCAGTCTATATATACATTTTAATACACTTTTTTTTTATTTAACTTAAAATTGAAAATTTAAGAAAAAATACCTAAGCTTATGTTTGAAATTTGTGAGGTAAAAAATCTTAAATAATTGCAGTTTATAAAGGTCTATATGAATATTACATTAAGTTTCTACAATTATTAGGAAACTATTACAATATACAATTATTAGGAAATTATCAAAAAATCTCTGCACAATTATGACCCAGAATAGGAATTTACTAATTGTAGCCATAATAATTAGTAAATGTTAGGTGTTTATTTCGTATAATAAATGCAATAAAGGTAATTTTATTTCAAAAAAATATATATTTATGTACAGAAATCTCGGCGTGTTAATTCAACTCGCATCTGACCGGTTTTAATTTATATTTCATTTCACATTCCGCTCATATGATTTTACTTAAAAATAAATCTTACATTATTGAATAGATAGTTTCCTATAATTTGGTATTATTCACTTAATAATTTCCTTCAAATTTCTTTTATAATTCCATTAGTGATCTAGCCTGACTTCGCATGGGAAGATACAACTTTGAAATGTTATATATATATATATATATATATATATATATATATATATATATATATATATATATATATATATATATATCATTAAAATTTAAAATAGCCGTGTAATCACGGCATAGAATAGGCCACCCCTTCCTATCTCGTGGGTGTTGTAAGAACCGACTAAAGGAGAGCGAAGGATGGGCAGCAGCGTCCCTCTTAAAACATCTTTAAAGCCTGACTGCGGATGCCAATCCGCCTGCCAAGCGTGGCAACTACCGGCAAAACCCCCCAAGGGGGAGGCTTATGTTCAGCAGTGGACAGTTAAAGGCTAATATTATGATAAAAATGCGAAAATTTTATTGTATATATATATATATATATATATATATATATATATATATATATATATACAATTTCCCTATTTTAATGATATATATTCATATATTAGTATATCTACATAATTATAAATACTTACTATAAACAAGCATAGGTTTAGTTCGACGATCTTCCTCCATGAAGGTAGACACTACACACGTATAATTTCCGCTCAAATCTGTGGTCGGCTTTAGAATTTTTATAGCTCGATACGCTTGCAGTGGTTCGTCTGAAAAATTATATTGTATATATTCAGAAAAGTTCATAAAAATCATTAAATTCTATATGTACCTATTTCACTACTACTTCCATGGAAATCAGTATGTTGTAATATATAAGTATTGTAACTGTTGAATATTTTATCCTTTAAATGTAATTTGTGCTGATCTAAAATTACACATTCCACAGTATTTCCCCAACTCACCAGATATCCTGAAACCCATATCAACCTTCCCCTTGAGCAGGCCAATTACTTGAGGTTGCATTGGCGGTATCCATTGGTAGACTAGGCCAGCAGAGCCATTGAAGAACCACTTCATCACGAGTCCAGGCCCCGGTGACACTGATCCAGTGCTGTATTCGCAGTCGAGAATCACAAACTCCGTCCCTGTCTCCACCAGCGATGGTACTTGTATACGCGTTATATTCACTGCTATGCATTCTGTCAACAATTTTAAGACATCGTAAGTAGCTATATCTTATATTTTTATTTGTGATGTAGTTTTTCTCGAAGATTCGTTATAGTCACAGTTATTTTCGAAATAGTCGAGATTATACCTAAACAATCAAAGTCACATCGAAAACGTCAATTTTAAGGTAAAATATCGTCTTTTTGGCGTCATTTCGATGTCGTTAATGTCAAGTCTGTTATGTAAATAAACTATATGGTTATATTGAAACGTTGTGACATTAAATATTACAGAAGTAATAATTACGGGTAATAAATATATAAATAGAAAATTATAATTAACTTTGTAAATAATTTGAAAATTCTTAAACCTCTGTATAGTATAAATATTATGATAAAATTGAAATTAATATTCTCTACCTCAGACAATAATATTTTCATTAGATATCAAGAGTGATTTAGGACTTCTTGGAAGTAAGGTATAATATTCTATAAATATAATAATCACGAATGAAATTCTCCGTATGATACGAGCTCATATTGTAGTTTATCAATAATTAAAAACAATAAAAAAAAAAAAGTTAAAATTTTAATTTCTTCCGTCTTTATCGTAACTGAGTATAACTTTGGATCTCATTAACAATTTCCAATAATACAATTAACACAAATATTTGACGAAAACTTAAAGGAAGCGACTTCAATATAATCATTCTAATATTTTTTCATAGATCTCATAATAGTGTTACTTTTGTACTACTACTTCTGCTACTTTTAGAGTAACAATCACCACAGTATAACCTTAAATTATTATTTTATTAACGACAATAAAAATAAGATATGTGGATACTATTTACTTGCAATTTCAGTCGCGTTAAATCTCATTTAAAATAAAAAGATGACCAAAACCTAGCTACAGTTGCCAACCCGCTGACCAAGCATGGCAACTACTGGTGAAACCTGTCTTATTAAATAATAATACTTATACTTATCAAAAGAAATATTTTAAATAATTGATCAATATTTTACTTAACGTTATATAATAATTAAAGAAATACGACGACATAATTTTATATGTGTAAGTAACAAAACCACAGATATAATAAATGAGAAACAGGTATTGCCTTTTCTCGTATAATATTCGTATTTCATCGCTAGAAGCGAAAATAAGTTAATCTCTATTTGTGAGCATCAATTATTTTCCTTCATAACAAATCCTCTCATTTTAAAACCCGTGGAAAATATAAAAAGTGAATATGCTCTTTTTTATATAGCTTATGCACTTCGATATTATTGACTTTTGTAGTATTTGTTTTTTTTATTTTTTATTTTAACGTAGTTTATAATTTGCTATATGGAATTGGATCGGATCGTCGGTAACTCTATATATAGACACCTTGGATTAAGTACGCGGAATCGTGATTCCATATTCTAAATTCCAGTTATTTAATTTAATGTGTCTGCAAAACATTAATGTGTGTGTATGTGTATGTGATGATATCATGAGCCATATGTAATTGTTTATATGTCAGCTTGGTCTTATATTCTAAAACAAGAAGGGTACATTTACTATTAAAAAAAAGTTTTTTTTTTCAATAGTAAACGTACCGTATTCAGTTCAAAATCTTAGAAGCTATTATTGTTTGTTGATACCTATAATATTTATGATAAACTACTTGAACCGATGGTGACACAATCAAAATCTGTTCTTTGAATTGGCAATAATAGGATCGTCAATATAATAACTGGCAGGAATAGGATCGTTTATATGAGAAAAGGTAAAATGTTTTTTTTTTTTTATTTTTCAGGACACTTTTTTCTCATTAGAACCTTAAAAAAATAGATAAATACTCCAGTCGTTCTCAATTATTACGCTAAGCAAAACATTTAGCAATTATTTAATTATTTTTATTTATATAGCATTTATTATTTACATATAACGATTTTTAAATTTTTCAGAGAAAATAAAATAGGAAATTCTTATTAATTCTATTAAAATCATAAATGTGACATTGTAAAAATGTTTAAATATTTAAATCTTTGATATTTTATTATACTTTAACGACTAAACAAATTTGAATATAATTTAGTGCACAGATAGACCATAACGGCATGGTACTTTTTATTGGTATTCACGTGGACAAATATCTAAGATGTAGAAATAAATTTTGTAAATATTGCAGTCTTTTATATGAAATCACTGAGAATGATGTAACCCGTAAGTTAATGCATTATACCTATCATATCTAATACATTTACGATAAGGACACTGTTTTGGCAGTTCATATCCTTCAAATAGTCTATGAATAATGTATTGTTAATATAACAACCATAGATAGGCTTTCAGGGAAATTGAAATGTACACGAACGTTCTAGTATCTATTCACATACGTGTGGATTGGTTGTTATTATTAGTTACATTAACTATAGTATAATGATACTACATACATAATGATGTACTTTCTATCTATTATAATATTGAAATATGGCACATTATAGGTACCATATATGGATTGGATTTTGTTTTTATGTTGGATCTTTGCAACTACAGGATAATATTATTAGGAGAATGTCTGTAGGTTTTGGATTTATTTGACATACATTCCAATTCTCGAAAAAATAAACTGTCGGTAAAAAATTGTTATTTTGAGAAACAATTTTTTTTATACCAATCCTCTTTTGTCTACATTGGCTACATTGCTTGCCTATATTTAAAAATAAAACCCGAAAGAACGCTTCTCAAAGGTTGACTATAAGGAATCCCTTTATGGGATAAGTCCGCTATTATATATTAAATGTTTAATGTATTCTATAAATTATATACAATAAAAATTTTACAATACATTACGTTTTAATTAAAGAGGTTTCTTAAAGTTAACGCTATTTCTGTCACCTGAAAGTTGCTTGTAAATTAAAAATGTATATAAACATGATGTTTATCATATTATTACTCATTATCTTAGTCTAATCAGCTGAGTTAGACTAGATAAGTAACGAAGTTCTCGTTTAGATTATTGCCAATTTGTATGAATGTGTTAATTAATAGTAATTATTGTATTTTTTTTATTGTCCATTAGCGATGACCCGAAGCTCTATTCGCGTTAATTAAAATGAAAAGAAGCCCGTACGAGTATCTAGGATATATTCTACCTTTGTATTCAAACTGGTTACTCATTTAAGTAACAAACATCAAAACATCAAACAAACATTTATGACGCTTAACGTAATTTTCAGAGCGTATATTTTCTTAAATGTGAGCTATTTAAAATTAAACTAAATGATAAGAAATAAACTTTTATCGCCTTCTCAATATACAAACCTTTACTTTTGTCAAGAGAATGAATTAAATCGACATATATATCATAAATAAGCCTACATATTTTCTTATATCTTTAATTATTCCCCAACGGCGTATTGCTACCAGTCATTGAAATTAAATTCTTTCTACAGTAATAGGATCTGACACAATTACCATGCTTGTCAATCATGACTTGGAAGTCACAAACTCCAGCTGTATTCCAAAAATACACAAGATAATATAATTTGGCTCTATCCGGGAGAATTTATAGTATCAAGGTTGATAAGCTTGTGTTACAACCGCTAGATTTAAGATTAACTTTCCATTAAATATAACAGAGTACTGTTTACATCCTTTCTTTTCTTACGTATTTGGATAATGTCGGGATCGCTTTATAAATCTACAGTGAAAACTCGAATCTTAAGTCATTAATATTTTCATGTGAACTATGTGGCAGGAATTAAATAATCTAAAATCTTAGATTATATAGATAGAGCATCGAGCCTCAAAAACGGGTCAACTTTTTGTCCACTAATTGTCAATTTAGCTAACCCGTTTTTATTTTATTAATGTATAAAAATGATACATATTCATATAATATACTAAACTGAAAACCGTTGTAGAAACTTGTAAGAACTTTTTTCATATTCGTATGTAATAATGTTGATAAATCAACACATGGAATACATGAGTAAATATACAATTAGGAACATTAATATAAACTAACAGTTATAATTAGAGTTGACAATTAACAGAACTCTAAACAACTTTATAATTAGGAGTAATCACTCGAAATAACGTCTAGTTATTTAATTAATCAAAACAAAAGATAGCCGGGATAGTAACAAATGACATAAAAGGGAAGTTCGCTCTCGGACTATTAAGCACAGGAAATTAAGGAACTATATTGTTTACTGGTGGGCATCCCAATACAATATTACGTACTACAAGAACGGTTCATTGCGCTCGCAAGATACTCGTACTTATGTGGACTTGACGTGAGAAGGTTATATTCATATCGTCAATATAAATTGTTATATATTTCATATTAATATCGAGCTCTTAGAAAAGTGGTAATCGCTTGGTAGTGATGTTTCTCATAAAAGGCATAACAACAGATATACCTAACTAAGATTTCCATTTAAATTTTAATATACTATATAACAAGGTGACTCAAAAGAAAGTTCACATTTAAAAAATCGATAAAAAATTAAACAAGGAGTTTATTAAAAAAAGTGTATAAATACACTTTTTGGGAATTTATTTCTTGAAAATGATATCGTCTTAGTGTAAACCGTTGCGTTCATAGCATTCATTTAATCGAGCTCTAAAATTGTCTATGACGGCTCGGCATGTATTGTCCGTGATGGCTGCCATTTCGTGACGGATATTTCCTTTTAATTTTGCCAAGAAATCGGTTTCTTGGGATAAACTTTAGATTTGACGTAACCCCACAGGGAAAGTCTATAGCGGTTAAATCAGGACTTCGTGGAGGCCAATTCACCTCTCCTGGATATCAATTTGCCAGGAAAAATTTCACGAACTCGTGGTAAAGACTGTTGGACGTGTGTAAAGTTACTCCGTCCTGCTGGAACCATGTTCTTTGGTTATGACCAGGAAAGTTTTACATACTCGTATTCTACTATACTATATACTTTTTATAGGTGAATGATTTTAAAAATTCTTTCACCTATAAAAAGCTACATTATCAGTAAGTAATACATGCTATAAATTATTT